GAATAATTATTAACAAATAAATTGAAACATGATAACAGTTATTCAATTAGAATTACTAATAAATTAATACAATTATATAAATTTCACCCCCAAAGCAAAAATAGTAACAAGCCTGGAAAAAAAAAAACCTGAGATGATATTATAGAATGATCCAGTGTTCATCAAACTCTTAGTACTATCCTGCTACTATGAGGTAAGCTTTAAAAAAGGCAATCAGTTAAAATATTCCAAATATTCATTCCATTCCACCTCCTAGGAGCAACTATTCTACAGGTCATAACAGGTCAGTCACGAGGGAGGTAAAGACACATCATTCCATTTTCATCTCCCACTGAAAACTGCCGGTAGATGGTGAGGCAGGAGACTGCATGTATATGAGCTCCATCTCATAATTTTAAAACTTACTTTATAAATACATTGGGTAGGAGCTTTTAATTGAATTTTAATGGAAGCACAGTGTCAGTATCAGCTGTGGTTTGACTGTGACAACCTAAGTTGACTGCAGGAGTGTTGAATGCCAATAATAAGAATCTCTTACTGAAGAAACTCTAAGAGCCATCCATAACTTTAACTTCTGTATTTCCACTGACAATGTCCAGCTCCTTTTCTTTACTCAGTGATGAAATTGTCAAGGAAAATTCACACTCTGCTCTTCCCCAAGTCAACAGTGATACTTTGGAGAGAACTGGTAGATGGAATTAGATAGGAATCCATTGTTCCCTATGGATAATGTTCTCATCCCAGTTTGACCACTACTGATTCAGTGGAACAACAAATTTATGCATGCCTAAAGTTATGTGAATTTTCTGACCTTTGTAAAAAAAAAAAGTATAATGTGAATTAACATAAGCATTACAAAATGTATAATTGGCATGTTTATTTCGGCTAAAGTATTTGATGCAAAAAATAGCATATTTTATGAAGATTGAACATTTTATTCAAAGAAACAAAAAGCTTTGATATGTTGAGAAAAAATATACTTTTGTTGGAAGGAAGTTGAGCCATTGGCAATAAAATAATGTACAATTACAGTGTTATTTTAATTTATCAGGTTTTCTATTTTATTTATTTTTTAACAATCACGTAAAAAGCAATCCCCCACTTCTGGAAATCCAAACTTGCCTAAATTATTCAGTTTTGGGCAAGTTTGGCCTTTCAGAATTGGATGATTGCACATCAGGATCAAATATAGACAACTTCTTTTCAAGGACTTTGCAGGGAAATTAGCAAAGTGAAATATGAGGCTCTGTTATTGAGATTAGCTTCCTCCAACAATCTTGCTGTTTAGCTGACTTTTGCCATAGACGTTTGACGTTTAGGTGGGACCTGGTCAACCTTCAGGAGAGTAGGTGGCTTCTCCTGTTTAACCAGCCTTTCTTTGAGAATTTCCCTCTTCCACCCCAGCAAAGGAATAATACTGATATTCCTCATGCCCACGAATGCCATCCTACCACTATCAACAGGAGCTGCGAAGCTGCAAAATGTATTTCTGCTATATAATAAATAATTTTCATGTAAAGGTACCCACAAGCTGTTTATCTGTGGCTCAGCAGGTAGAAGATGAAAGAGTTAAAGTCATCTCCCAAGTTATAGGAAATGAAAAATCTGACTTTCCACTCCCAGGGAGATGCCATTTCAAAGTTCAAGATGAGACAAAGCAATTTCATTTGAGGGCCATATTCCTAGTAAGGCTTGAAACTTGTTCTAGGAGGCATTCATTGTTATATTTCAAGGAAAACAATTTAGAGGAGAACACTGTTTGTGATTCCTTTTCATAGTGTTCCATTATGAAGCAGAGGCAAAGTAACTGTCCTCCTTGCCTTCCTGAAAAAGATGAGTGTTCCTATCCTCTGTAGGGGAAATGATGTGCTTATAAACAGGTAGTAACTTCATCCGAGAGCTCTGCCCAATAGCCGGTATTCAGCACTTATTTTAAGATACGTGTATATGCTCCACCCATTACAATGTTCCCTGGAGGCATGTAGAATATAAGTCATTCTGTCATATATAAAATAATTCAGAAATTACTTACCTTAAATATGAGTTACTGTAAGAATCGTTCTTTCAAAATCCACTTGGACTGCAGTTTTATTGCAAGTATATTGTCCTTCATATTCCTGTTTTGATTCAATTATTACGGCATTTCTACTTAAAACTATTCTTTCTTAATCAAGTTCTTCCTTGTTTTATATGTATACGTGTGTGTACTATATTGTTCCTTGTTTTGCATAGGTGGATAGCGCTATTGACGTAATCTTAGTAAGTAGTTGCATGAGAGATTTCATAATATATAACAATACAGGCCTAGCAGGTTCAATATGTATATTGGCAGTTTGTATAGGAAAACAATTGATCAGCTGGAGGAAGCACCAACTATTTTGAGCTTAGTGGCAATGAAGACAATTGCTGGTCAGCTCTGACTTGCTTTTGTGGGATTTAAGAATGGAAATGATGGTGGCATGAAAATGCAGTGAGTATAAGATAGCACAATAGGCCAGTAGTTTTACAGAATACAATTTACTGCTCAGGAGGCACAGGATAAAACTGAATAATGCAATATATGCTGACTTTACAACGTGAGCATGAAATGCCCCGCTTCTGACAGTGAAGAAATTGGAGGTGCTGGAGAAACCCCTTTTCATAACCAATAACTCTTCAAGGTTCAGTAACTGCCATTATTACTTGTTCTAGCTCATTTTTATGTGTGAAAATGCAAGATTCAATTCATTATTTTTTCATTCCTACATATTTGATACTTTTTTAAAAAAAAAATCACGCCTTTCTCACTCAACAGATCTCAAGAGGGAAGCAAAGTTTAGGTCATCCTCTCCTTCCCACTTTCCATCTCCACTTTGCAAAATGCCCACTTTTTAGTCCAAATTTCAAGGCTTGGTTTTTCCCTATTCATATAAAAGGCCTGTGTTTTCCCTTAGAAGATTCTCACAGATAAAAGTTGTAGTAGCAGCACAACTTTGAAATACATTGTGTTTGACAGCACGCAGAAGCCACAGTTAACTAAAGAGTCCTCCTAAAAACATATTTCTTCAAATTTCAGTGAAGAAATAGCTTGAAGAGGTTTGAAACATGTCATGTACTGTACTTTGGGAGTCATCCCTCTGATGGGATCTATTGGTCCAGGCAAATACACCCTGTCTGCTTAATTTGGGGAAGTGGTCAGAGTGAGAATGTTGAAATAGAAGTGTTTTTTGAAGCTTCCATTTAATGACTGAGGCATGATAGCTCAGTGGCTTAAAACAGGAGTCTGGGACAACTTTAAGACTTGTGGACTTCAGCTCCCAGAATTCCTCAGCCAGCATATCTGGGAGCTGAAGTCCACTAGTCTTAAAGTTGTCAAGGTTGCAGACCCATGGCTTAAAAGATGCTGGTCTCAAATCCAGCGATTTTGAGTCCTGTCGCCGCATGGCAGAGTGAGCTCCGTCCAACCTAGCAGTTGCGAGTAGATACCACTTTGGTGGGAAGGTAAGAATGTCTCATGTTTTGCTCTCCGCTTTGCAATGGAGCATGATGTCATGCTGGCTACATGATTGCGGAAATGTCTTTGGACAGTGCTGGCTCAATGGCTTAAAGAAATGGAGACGAGCACTGGCCTCTAAAGTCGGCTAAAGCTAGTAGAGTAAAACCCACAGTGACACCTTTACCTTTTTACTTTTAATGACCAGAGATTTCTAGTCTGCTAATAGAATGGAATATCACAGGGAAGAATACAATGCAAACTACAACAGAGACAACTCAAAGGCTGGATTCACATACTCTGCCATAGTTTATTTTACACATAATTCATTGAACCACACAAAGTGGATGAATTCACAAAAACCTAGTCCAAACTAAGCTTCACAGTGCATTAGTGTAAACTGGGAGAGGGCAAGTGTTGGTAACTCTTGCTTTAGATCACCCATAAATAGCACAATATTTTGCCACATGTGGGAAAAAGTGAATTTGGATTTTTTTTTTTATTGTGCAGGACAGGGCCACATTTAAGTTCTTCTATGACTCAAAATGTCAGTGTTCTGCTTTCATTACAGGAGTGCTGTTGCAGTTACAGCTGTTGGAGAATAAAACGTACAAAACTTTCATCAAATCAAAAAAGCAAACCTATCTAGCATTGATCATAAAGAAACATGGGTGGATCAGTCCAAAAATTCTAGTCCAGGGGTGTCAAACTCGCCACATCACATGACATATTGCGACATATCACAACTTTTTTCTCCTTGCTGGAGCTGGGATGGATGCGGCTTCTGCATAATGCATCTGGCCCATGGGCCAGCAGTTTGACACCCCTGATCTAGTCCAACACATTGATTTCATTGAGGCTATCCAGATAACTTAAGAAACCAACATGTAGAACACAAAGATTTTGGAGGATTCTCTCACTCCTACTCAGACTTATCTCAACTCCCAAATATACTTCTGCAAATCTGTGGCACCACATTATGGCTCATAGCTGTTCCAAGGCCATTTTAGCCACCTAAGGAATCTGAGGAAGGTCCCAAGTTGCTACAGTCTGCCTTATCCCAGATCCCTTGTTAGAAGAAATTCTGAGCTGGGTTTCAAAGAGGACACGAGAACTGCTTGAAGTGGAGGTAGAATATATTTAACAGAAAAACAACCTAGTAATCAAAGGTGGCCACAAATTAAAAAGGATGAATTGATAAAGTTTATTGAAGTCCATCAATTTTCACCTTTTAAGATTATGTTCTTGAGGAAATGAGTTGGAGTGGGGGAAGGAGGACCCAGTTGTTGGCAATATACTAGCTCTGTAAACTGCTTAAAGAGGGGTATAACGCACTAGGAAGTGGTATATTGTAAGTGCTATTGCTATTGTTAGAAGTAAGCACCCACCCATCCTCTAAAGAAGGAAATATTTTGGGGATATTAAAAAAAGGCAGCCACCCCAGAAACATGCTTTGTCACTGAGATTTCTGGCAACTAAATAAACAAGAACCGTCTTTCCAAACAGTCTTCATTTTATTTATTTCCAGCTTGGACTGGATCTGAAGATTTTTCTTTCAACAATTTGGCACCCCGGATGGGACTCCAGGCTAACCTCACCAATGGACCGGGACTCCATCTTGCCGGCAGCAGACCCCTTGTGTCCATGGGTGGGTTTCCCAGACCCTGCCCATTTGGAGTAAGGGTAGTAAAGGGAGTTTTGACTTTTTGAGCTCAACGGCTGTTTGGAAAGAAGGTGAGTACCTCTAAATTTTAACTTTAAAAGCCCAGGAGATGAAAGAGTCTCTCTCTCTATCTATCTATCTATCTATCTATCTATCTATCTATCTATCTATCTATCTATCTATCTATCTATCTCTCTCTCTCTATCTCTCTATCTCTATCTTTAAGAACACTTTTTTCTTAAGTTACTTTTCTTATCCTATCAGTGATCAGAGAAATTTTTTTACTATGGAACTAAACCTGGAACATATAAGCATTTTTTTTCAATCTCTAATATGATCTTTTTATCTATATTGTACATTGGTAATACTGAGCAAAATGCTGTCAGGATGTTTAATTTTTTAAAAAACAAATATTAAAAGTAGATTTTCCTACCCCGGGCAAATTGTACACATTAAAATATTAGGCTTTTAAAATTATTTGGAGTTTTCAGCATTCTCAAGCTGTCCAACGTCTCTTCTCTCCTCATCTGTGGTATCCCCATTTTGTCTGTTTATCTGTTTTTTTAACAACTGCAGTATTAATGCCTGTTCAAAAATCTTGGCTGCAAGCTATCCACCCCCCCCCCCATTCCACTTCTCCATTTCTTATCCTCTGTTCTCCCTTCCTGTGTCAGACCAACAATGCTCTTCTGGGAGAGTCACCTACAAAGCGGGGAAGGGACCCCGTTCTCATGTCTTTCAGCCCTGCACAGATCTTTAGAAATCAGAGCACACTGACCCAGATGTTGCTTCCATTCATTTGAGCCAGAGAATTGGGTTTGGATCCAGCCATCCATTGGAAAGTCACCATGCAACTAGAGTGGAACAGATCTTCCCAAGTCCTACATCACCCAGATGCTTGTGAAAGCTGCAGAAAAAGGAAGGACTCCTAGACCCATTGGCCCCCACATGAAGCCTCAGAAGACAACTGGAAAGACTATGGGGGAAGGGCAAAAACTCATTGTAAGGTTTTCTTTCATGCCTCATTTATCTTGTAATTAAGTAGTCAAATGGATTCATGGAGGGATGACATTGGGAATGGTTGGCACAGGAAGTCCTGAACACCTTGGAGTTCTGTCTACCAAAAGGGCACACTCAAGCTCAGGTCAAAGAACATTGCACAGGAACAGGAACAACCTGAAATACAAAACCCAAAGAAGGTATAAAAACCCACCCTCTCCCAGCTCCATTTTGTCAGCCACCCCAGAAACATGCTGTGTCACTGAAGTTTCTGGCAACTAAATAAACAAGAACCTTCTTTCTAAACAGCCTCCATTTTATTTATTCCCAGTTTGGACTGGACCTGAAGATTTTTCTTTCAACACTATCAAAGATGGTCAGGATTAGTGAGTAACATAGATGGGTGGGTGGCATTGAGGTTTTTTTTCTCACACCCTGATTATGATGAGTAATTTCTTTGAACACCACCAATAATGGGAACAGTTCAGCATTAACACAATGTGATGATGTTTTTGCATTACCATGGAGACTATTATTTGACCAATAAACTTTAATGTAAGGACAGGAGATTAAATGAGCATAGATCCAAGAAAAGCGAGGTGGGCCATCTTTTTCTTTTAAGTTAAGGACTAGACTTACTCTTTGATTGGAATGGCTCTAAAAACAGCAGAGGACAGACAAAAAATCCAGACAGAGCCAGATAAAACTAGATTAAATAGAGTAAATACAATTACTTCCCCAGGTGTGAAATAATGTTTCGCTTCTGTTATTTTAAGAATTACAGTTTGATATCTTCTGGATGTACCCAAAGCTTTGAAGGAGGCCCCATGTGATTCTGGATTGCAGACTATGTATCTCAATAATGAGAGGTTCTGTTCAAACTGAGGGACCTTCTCGTTGCACCTAGATGGGAAATTGAGAATTTTGGGAAAAATTGATTAATTGGTTGCTTATATAGCTTCAAGTTGATTCTTAGTGACCACATATATTTTCTCCATAATGATACATGCATATCTATCATGCATAATAAGTAAGCCATAACCTATATAATATAATAATCTTTAAAAGATACATTAAGAGATTCTCACATAATGCTTTCTTAAGCAAGATCTTCAGCTCCTGATACTTTTTTAAAGATATCTTATCCTAATTAAATGTAAATTCTTACCTCAGTTTACATCTCCTTGGTTTTATCTCATCTCTTTCATTCTGATCTCTTGCAATGAAAATACAGATTGTGCAGTCCACAAATTTCCATCTTCTTCTATAGTGAAATGTCTTTGATTTGAAGAAGCCTTCTGCCTTTTATATGTCTCCTTAAAACACAATCTTATAGCTATCTACTCAGAAATAACCCCCCTTTATTCTTGAGTATGACAGAGTAATATGGGAAAAAATTTACCATGTTCTTTCCCCAATTTGTTATAAATCATTAACTAATGGAATACCCAAGGGATACATTGTCTCTCCAATATCACTGTAACCTTGCTGTTTTTTTTTTTCAATAGCCAAACCATTTAAAATAAGGTGATCTATCACAGTTCTGAAATTGTGTTCCCTTCTCAAAGTCTGATTTCAATTTTAAGCTCTATGCATCATGCAACCCACTAGCAAATGCTGGTAGCGTTTAAGGGAACTACAATGATGTTTAAATTGCAGCATTGTAGATGGAAGTTGCGGGTTGTGTTTCGGTAACAGGATTTAACTCCCTATATGAAGACAGCCTGCTGGGCTTTGCAAAAAGCCACGTCTAAGTTTCTTAGGGGGATATGAACCATTGCTGTTGATCTAGTGGATGCCATTCCTGGAATCATCAACCAACCAAATATGTTTCTCGTGCCTTTCTATTAGATCTGTGTTTCTTAAGTTTAGCTTTAAGTTATGTGAACTTCAATTCCAAGTGGATTTTGAAATCCACATATTAAAATTGCCAACTTTGAGAAATACTGTACTAGATGATAAATGATTTTATACACACACATACACATTTATCATACTATATATTCCTTTAAAAAGCTATATGAGCCAGTATGCCACCCCATATTGTGTAGTAGTGATGGATATAGTCTGTTACTCTTTATTCTGTGAAGTAACATTTATCAGCCAATCCAAAAGCTAAGCTTCCCACAGTTCCAATCAATCTCTTTCTCATTTTTCAGGTAGACCCTGGGAGACATTCTTTAGCTCTTTAGCCAGACAATTAGGAGTGACCTTCATTGCTTGATTATTTGTTAATTATGTTTCATTGCTTGTAGCCAAGCCAAAGTCCCTGATAGAGGCTTCCCTCTGGGTTAGCAAGTCTAATCGAGACGCAGTTATGTGAAAAAAAAGAGAAAAATGAGTTAAAAGGCTGTTTTAGTATATGAAACCCAAATAATTCTATCTGAGTTTATTCTCTGGCTAAAAATAACTTGGCAACTGCTCCTGGAAGTGGGTGTCTTCAGGTAAAGTCTCCCTCAAAGGAGAGAAGCACTTAACAGAGCTCTTACATCTACTGAGGTATATGTGTGTGTTTGCATACTGTGTTAAGATTTGCCTTATATTACAATAGAAAAGTATTATATTACCCATCATCACCATTTTACTAATCTTTGAGTATCTTTGTATTTATACCTATAAAGCAGGCCAGTACCATTCTTCATGGAAAGAGGTCAATTACCTGAGGAAAAAGTATGTATTAAAGTCATACAGGTAGAAAAAGCTAAGTTAGCAGTTGAACTGATGACTAAATCAACTTTTAGAATGCAATATTTTCAACTGTGTTCTTGGGTAAGAAAATTATTTAGAGTTGGCTTACTCTATTATAACGTGTGGAAAATTCTGCCAGATTAGATCAAAGTCCTACTTAATCCAGCACCCTCTCATCTCTCTAGCAGCCTGATAATGCTTCTAGAAAGAATTAGCAGACAAGCCAGTTCAGCATCAACATCACATCTGCCCAAGAGGCCACAGTTATATCTGCAGGCAGTGACAATTACACATAAATCTACCATCAGTGATGGTTTCAGCTGTGCTAGATTCCGAAAGTAACATTCAGGCTTGAGATTGACTCCAGGCTATGTCCTCCCACTTACATAAGCCTCAGTCATTCTAGCCTGAAGATGAAAGAACTAATTTCTCCTCATGATTTTAATTGAATTTCCACCTCCCATAAAAATATATTATGACTTAAATAAATAATCCAAAAGAACCTGTACTTTGGCCAGTATGTGTAAACCAGCATGGGTTTGGAAGTAGCAGAATTTTTAATGTAAAAAAAAGAGAGAAACTAACATTGCAATAGTGAAATGGGAATCTAGCAACTACTGTACTACAAAACAATAGTTAATTGTTGTTTTGACCAAGAATGCAGTCATTTTTCCAGGATCAACAGAAAGCAATTTTATCCAGTTTATTGCCTGATTAACAGATTTGTGTGTGATGACTGATCATGGCTTGCATGACAGCTCCCACAACATACTTTTAAATGTGTCCATACCTACAGACTCAAAGAGATAGTAAACTAAAAGCCCACTAACAAATAGAATGGCGTAGCATTTTGTGTGAACCTAACCAGATAATCTAAAAAGTTATTCTAGTTCAGTACTCCAAGTATGAGAAAATATAATTTATTGGGTCCACGTGATTTCTCCTTTGAGAAGATGAATGGCAGCATTTTATCTTGAAAGAGGCATTCTAGCCACCAAATTATCTTGGGATTATGAACCAAAAGGTTTTGAGCCCCAATCACAGGATCAGCGCCAGCTCGATAAGATGACTTACATTCAGTTTCTAGGCCTTGCAGACATCTATGCTTTCACATATGCATAATATGATTTTCCTTCAACACTTTCCTACAGCCCCAGCCACATCCACATATACAGTCCTGTGAAGGAAAACATTTTCATTTAATTCTGAAATTACATTTTCTTACTATATATTTCTGAAATTACATCATTGCCTTCCTGGGGCTTTTCCATCAAGTCTTCAAACACCTTCTTTTACTAGTTTTTCTTAACATAATTCCCAGAGTGAAAAAGAATCCTCTAAAGCTTGCTGACAATTTTTTAAAGTTCTCAGTTGTTCTTCAGTCACAATAAAATATTATCCTACCCATCTTTTGATTTTGTTTTCCTAATGGAAGAGCTCAACTGATAACATTTCATAAACAGACCAATTCATTTTAAAGCTTTATTGTGCCGACACTTGCTTCTTGCAAAGCCATGAATGATTTCCCCAAAGTCATCTCTTGCAAGCTCACATTCAATTGATGAAACGGAAAACTTGCTTCATTTTAGCTTAGTGGAAACTTCTTTTGAGCTTTTTGACACTGTCGCTGGCAGCATGTAAGATTCCCTTGAAAGATAGTTGAGTTAGTTTCTAAGAAAATCATTTAATTAAATAACCAGAGGTAGTTTATATCATTCCTTCCCCCAAAAAAAGACCAATCTGTGACCTTGATTATAAGGTTTTGATGCTCCTACTATTGAACTTCCTTCCTGTGTACAAGGAGCTTTGGAATCAGCAGTTTGTAAAAGAGCAAGTCACGTGCAGGAGTACAAATCTCTCTATTTCTCAAATCCTACCTGCTAGTTTTAATAGTATAAGCACAGCATTTAAGAGGAAGGCCTTGGCCAGCACACTGTTGTTCCCTGTGTTGCTTGTTATACAGTAGTCCATCTTCTTCCCTCTCCCACAAGCTTTGGGCCTTGTTGCCATCCTTTCTTCCCTTTGAAAAGTGATAGGTTAGGCTTGAGGTAAGTATAACAGTGAACGAAGGGCAATGATGCAGTGTTTGCATAATGGAATGTATGGATGACCTTGGGGGATGAGAGAAAGAAATGCTGTCTCGGGAATGATTCGACAAGAGAGGAGGAGTCCACAGTTGCTTTACAGTCAGAGAAAGAAACTTAGGAAGGATCCACCCTAATTGATAAGGTAGCTAAAAATGGTGACTGGAAGTTTGTACCTTCAGACTTGCAAGATTCTGTTAATGTAGGCTTGCAGTAAAGTGGATTTTGCTCATCTAATTATGTTTCCTGTAGCTCACTTTATCCTGTATATTTTTCACCTACAACCTCAGTATTGGAAATATGTGAAAACATTTCCCTCAGGCCCATTAGGGGTGCTGAAATGGTTCAGATAATAGGTAAATGGTATATCACTATTGCAGTGTTGCCAGTGAAATTTCTCCCTTTTAGTGAATCTATTTAATCAAGACAGTAACAAAAACCACAGAATTCTACTCAATAA